CTCTGATTGGATCCCTGTCAGCTTTTCAAAGATGGGGCTCCTGATTTAAATCTGCATACAAGCGGCGGACTCCTGCACGACTCCGCATAAGTGCACTCATTTTTTTTGGTAGTTCGCATGCAATTTCGCATGTATCACCAGTTGACTCCTACTAATGCCAGGAGATTTCGTCGTTGAAACAGAAATATGAAGCCTGTCTGGAAGAACATGTAAGTTTATTGCGATTCTCCTTACATTTCTCTGAATCGCTGTAAGTAATGATTTTTGACTGTGCGAAATCTTGTACCAAAGATATTCAAGTTTATTTCGTAGCAATACTAATATTCTTTACTATCATGTCAATATGTAGTGTTTCCAGGCAACAAATCGAGACGTTTTCTTAGAGGCAATGGCCCGCCAAAACCAAACATATCGAAATTTTGATATGGAAGGTTGCTTGCATCCCAAATATTAGAGCAGAGCAGGTCCGAGCGCACAACAAGCAACCCCTACCTAGAAAACTGCTTCTAAACCCGTGCGCGCAAGCCATTCTTACACGCGCCTTCGGACGAGCTTGCGTTTCCCCTCCCACCGTCAGAGCGGTATGTCACAACACTATAAACATGAGGGTTCTGCAAAGACTCTACGTCTCTGACCATCTCGAGGAGGGTTCTACTCGCCCAAATTTAAAATAAGGGACCTTGAAAAATGCTGATTTTCGCCATTTTCGCGCTCTCCAAAATATATTTTCGGAATCAGCGCGTCGAATTACCCCGGGTAAGCGAAAGACCCTCAAGAGGGGAATTTGCCGAGCCACTGCCTTTAACTTGTCTTGCTTAGCACGTAACGTGTTAAAACACGTCAAAATCGGGGCGGCGCTGGAGACCGCCCGTGCGAAAAGACCGTTTCCTCAAAAAACTCGACAATCTTTGGAAAGGATTCGTACACGTTGATGTATAGAATATTTTTAGGGAATAATTGAACTTCTTTGTTGCAACTGTAAAAACCTGTGTGATTAGTTGCAAGTTGAGGAAAGTGCCGATAAGTTATATTAACACCTTTTTCTTTTTTATGAATGCGACGCATTGCTATTATACTAATAGCTTTATGAGACACGACTGCACATGCTTTTAGTATCTCCTGTGCGATCCTCAGAGAGAAAGCTACTTTTTCAAAAAATGCACTGTTCTGAATAAAACATTAGGATTCGACACATTAAGGGCGCGCTAAGAAACAGCCACAAAAGTTTTTTTTCGTCGCGATGAGTTTTCTTACACTTATTTAGCATTAAAAGCTCTTAAAATTTTGGGCAAAGCCTCACATAACATCAAAGGAGAAAAAAGCGCAATCAAGTTATTTCCACCTCTGCGTTCTTGGCACTATGTAAACGCAATGATGACTTCAAAACTTCTAGACTTCCTCCCAAAATTTGTATTTTTTCTTTAGTCTGGATTCTATGGATTTCAGAGATGATAAAGAAGTTGCCGAAAATGGCGTAAAACCTCAAAAATCGCAATTCATTTTCTATTTCATCATCTACATATATTCGAAAAGCTGCAAACCTCCACGTAATTTGAAAATGTAAAGAAATTGCCGGGGAATGACGACTATTCCAGGTAGCTGTCCAGAACAAGAAGTCGAATTCAAGACTTTCGCCTACCTGGGCCTATTCGATATACTGAATCTGAAAATCCATCATGGACAGTGCCAAAACGGCGAAAACGGGCTCTAAAGCAGGAGGGAAATCAGCAGGTGGGAGGGTCTTTCACCCAGTGAAGTCACCCTCTCAGATTCCGCAGCACTTGCGATTCCAGCTTCAAGTCATGGTCCGCGCTCGGGCAGTGGCGATGTTAGGGCGACTAGCGGATGCAAGAAGATCGCCCCGGAAGCTGCGAGAGTGCCTTTACAGAGTGAAAGACTCCCACCTGCAGGTTTCCCTCCGTTGGAGCCCTTTTCCGCCGCTTTTGCGCTTTACAGTTGAATTTTTCGGCTTCAGCATAGCAAATAGGCCCAGATAGGCAGAATAATACACTGTTTGATCGTTAAGATCGTTGACCGTAAAGTGGTGTACCAGATATCTTACGTGCGTTGATTTCATTGCTCAACTTTAAAGGAGTCTGTAAAGCTTTTCGAAGGGTGTAATTGCAATTTTAGAGAGCATAGTAAAAACAGCTATCACGGTTTATAAGTCATGAAGGAAGGTCAAATGCAAAGTTCATATTTGGTTTAAGCAACTTTAATTTGCCTAGTGTAAAAATTCACAGATGGTTTAATTTACTTTCTAAGGCGGAATAAGACCCTCAATGGCTAAGCTCTTGAAGTCTCTACCGTAATCCTACAGTTACGAATGAAGATAGTTGATTCGATTCATACTGTGCTACTGCTGAAGAATGCTATGCAAAATGGTACCTGAAGGCTGGCAAAAGACTTCTAGGAAAGGGAGATATTAGTGATTAAATATTGTATACATACTTTTGGGACACTCTATACAGGGTGTCCCAAAATAATGTGCACACTGTTTGATTTTGAATAGCTCTCTTATTATGAGGTCTTTCGAGAAGCGGTAAGCGCCATTCAGTAGAGCTGGCTTCAACTTAGATTTGAAGTATGGAGCGAATCAGCGACCGCTCTTCGTTACTGTAGGATTATGGTAGAAACTTGAAAGAGGGTTTTGGGCCACGAAAGGCTATATTTTGCCTCAAAAAGGAATCAAAACAGCCTGAAAACTTTCACATTAGGCCAAGTAGAGTTGCTGATTCCAACTCTAAAGTTCCGAACTTGTTATGATGCTTCAGTGATGAGTTATGCGAGGTAAGCCAAAGCGGCCATTTTCTCAATGTTCCTAAAAAGTGCGGTTACACCGTTTAGAAAGCTTCGCAAACTTGAGAATAGTTGAGTATTGAACTCAGCGTCCCCAAAAACCCTGTTACACAAGTTCTCACATCTTTTTGAAAATTTTTGAAACGGCAGCTTTTTCCACAGTGACACCATATGTTTCAAGTTTCTACCGTAATCCTACAGTAATGAAGAGAGGTCGGTGATTCGCTCTATACTGCAAATCTAAGTTGAAGCCAGCTCTACAGAATGGCGTTTACCGCTTTTCGAAAGACCTCATAATACCAGAGTTATTCAAAATCAAACAGTGTGCACATTATTTTGGGACACCCTGTATATCGTAATAAACTATTGATTGGCTAATAAATAAGTTCGGTCGCTTTTGCGGCTCTTACAAATGTTGCAGATCCGTTTGGTATTTTTCGAAAGAGCATTTTAGCGGGAATTGGAATATATGTTTGAGAAGAACTTATCTTCGAAGGAAGAAAAGCCGAAAAGAAATGAAGGACCACATTTTTCCCATAGTGCGCAAATATGAAGAAATTTAGTTTTTTATAAAAAAAATTTTCTAATGGCAGATCACAATTTTTGCTGTTATTCACTGAACAGGAAAATCTCTATTCTAACGGAATACCAAATTGCTGTTTTTTTACATCAATTACAGCATCAAAACGAAGCTTAGGAATTCGAAGAATTGAGCTTTCAAAAATTTAGCCAGGTTGAGGCATAACTGTCCTTACTGGAAAATCCTGCATATTTGATATGTGATAGAGGGAGATTTGGACTATTTTTTCGCAAAAATTCAAGGACAGAAAACAACAAGAAATATTTCTATGAAAATTTGCATGCCAAAACGAACTTATTTTCTAAGCAACCTAATAGAATTGTCTGGGACGCGTCAAAGTTCTGAAACGCAATGGACATCAATTAACCATTGCTTCCAGCAGCTGTGGTCATTTGGTCTTCATCAAGCAACCGTTTAACCCATGGTGAGGCAATATAAATTTTGGTAACTTGGCTTCAGAATTAACTCAAAAATTGTGGAAACTCAATTGGTAATCGAAATATCTTGCGCCAGCACTGCGGGATAAATGCTCCAATGTTTTGTCTTATACCATGTACGTTTGCACTAGGGACTATCAGCGGCACTGCCTTCAAATCCATGAGGGAGAATCTGAGCACTAATGAAAGTGGGAGTAAGCCACAGCGGGACTGAAACAGAGTAAGAAATTGCTGCAGAAAGATACTCAAATGCAGTGTCTCACCAAAATGTGATGCGGGTCTCCAAATACTTTGTTAAAAGACTCCTTGAACACGCGACTGCCCCAAGTCCAATTCGATTAGTGCCCCTATTTCCGGGAAGTTGCACTCAAAGTGGCCCACAAAGCGGGATTTACTTGGGCAATGCTTGATCATCTCCTTTACTCGTGTCCTCTTTGTTGATAACTGACAAGGAAACGATAGTTGGTGTCTGTGGCCTTTTGAGAAGAAACGTATACCATCACACTCGTCTTGGAACGCTAACTCCGTATCTGGCTTCCGTTTCTGCTAAACGTTTCTCTGAGAGAGTTATAAAGGATTTTCGCGTCAATGGTCGCCCAAAAGAAATACGGTCGAGGATGCCTAATTTTCAAAAAGAAGTTCAATTAAGGCAATGTAAAACTGAGAAACACAAAAGGACTCGAACCTAAACCTGCACTAACTTATGAGGCTATCGCATAGCCCCTCACCAAGTCGACGGTTTTGGCATTCGGACCACATTTCCTTTGACCCGAAAATTCTTCATAACTTTTCAGAGAAACGATTACCAAAAATTGGAATCAGATTCGGAATCAGCGTTCTAATGTAAGACGAGTGTGATGGTATATATCTCATCTTAAAAGGCCACGGACACCGAGTATCATTCCCTTGTAAGAGGACTAAGACGTCCTGTTAGCTGACGACTACCTCCATGTTGCTGCTACTGTGGCGACACTAGGGTAAGAAGGCACAACTCTCCTCCTTTTTCGCGGGGCTTGAGAGAACGGGATTCAGGCACATTCATACGTTTTCGAGTAGGCAGGGTCGGAAAGGTTTGTAATCTTCAAAAATCCCTACAACGAGATTTTGGTTGAACTACTTCTAAAGAAAATGTATTAGCATAGTCTTGTTTTCTCAACTATCTCTGGTTTTGACTTCAGCTAATTTTAGACGAGGTGAGATACAGCGAAGAAGTCTAGATGTTCGTGGTCCTTAAAAACTTTAAAAGACTTCGTTTAAGACTTCACAAAGTTATATTATTCGAGTTCCGATGAAAGAAAAGAGAAATAGACTCACTCCAGGGCATTCATCCTTGAACTTTTTAATAAGTTCATCTTTGATAGTGCTTGCATTTTTCTGTGTTACAGGGATCACTGCATCTAGCGTTGTTCTGAAGTTATGAACTATAACCTAATAAAAGACATGACATGTGCTACAACACACTCGAAATTCACTTCGAAAGTGACAACATTTTTGAGTTGTTTATTGGCTTGTTGACTCCACAACTTATCGTTGCGTTGCGGCTCCTGCAGTATGCAAATTGAGTTGGAGCTAGGCCCTTTTCGGTACTTCCTCCATTCCTACCAACAGCTCTCATGAAAACGACAAAAGATACCTGATCTCCTCCACTGAGTGACTTTATTCCTTTAGACAGTTCTTTGAAGAATGCCTCCGTATCATTGGGGTAACAAGGATATCTCAATACAAACAAGAGTGATGGCATAGGCAGAATCTAAATTTTTAGAGCAGGTGTAAGTTATCCACTCAGCTCAAGATACTAACTGTGAAGATTGCTAGATGGAACATGGTGATGCAGATAGTCCCTCAGCTGTTCTATTTATAAGGACGCGGCCAAATAAATTGCAATGGCACCATTCATGAAGCTATTCATTCTTAAAGATCAAATTCAAGCGCAATAATGGACAGTAAAAGGCAAGCCACTCATTTACTGATCTCGACGATATTCACTTTAGAGTGGACCGTATTGATGTTCTACTAGTGCAGTGCTTGATGTTGACGCCGTAATTTCTAGGCCGAAACCCCTATTTTCCATAGAATAATGATTTGCTTAGATTAGAAATAAATTTATGTTTGATTCCCTTCATGCCGCTCTCCGGAAAACACCAAAGTCAGAGTAGCAAAGTGTTACTGTTACAAAACCGTATTCTTTTGTGGACCTAGTATTTCTTCCGTAGAGCAATGTTTTTTTTCCAATTTTTTGCACTATTGGGACCAGTAAGCTCCACCCTTCAAAGAATATTTATAGTTGCTTACGAAACAACTTTGCATTTCGTAAACAACCACAAACCTTCCCACACCGGAAGTGTTGCGCAAAATCGCGTCGTCTCACACCGCGAACCACGCAAAATTAGGCTTCGTCGTCAATGGGATAAGAGAAAATCCTGAAACGAGAGCTTCATATTCCAAATCTTCCCAATTTTACCTTGTCTTTCCCCCGTTCCCGTAAGGAATGGTAATTTAATCGTAATTTTTCATCGGCTAGAGTAAGGAATGTTCAAGGATGTCCCTAGAGCAAGCATTCAATGATTTTTAGCAATAAGATGCCTAGATTTTCACTAATAAGGAAAAGACTCCAGCCGCCTACGGCGAATTGGTATAAGAGCATATCATTGGATGCGACTTGATGAGCTGATTTCATATCTAACTTGCATCTGCTCGCTGTTTTCAGTAAGGAATTATGAGCGGTTTGAAAGTCTGTAGTCATAAAGGCTAAAATGCGCAATGTGCTTTTGAGTCATTTTTGGGAGAGCTTATCTGGCATGATATAGAGCGTAATTACAACGAATGCACAAATTCGCCGGAAAACTAAGTATTTTGAACAACCGTTCCTTGAAAGTACTGAATGTTTGCCATTATTTGGTCTTTCCATAACCCTTTTAGAAAACGCGCAGCAGATATGGAAGTTAGATTTCGAACCGCGTAACAGGCATCTATTGATATACTACATTTTTCAAACCGCTAGTGCGACTTGAGACATTTTTTAGTATTAGGTTGAGTCAAAAGTAAGAAGAATTTTTCGCCCCTCATTTCGAGCTTTCCGCAAACCTTTTAGAACAATGATGGAAGAGTAGCCTAAACTTTATCAAACTTAGTTTCTTTACTTCTTCAGCAGCCAGTCCAGCGGCCCAAGTGACTTCTTAGTTTAAAAAAAATTGTCCAAATTTCGAACCCGCCATTTTCGTTTTGAGTGAGTTTGTTTAGCTAATCCTAAGAATTTTCAATTTGAGGTTTTCAAACAAGTTCGATCGCTCAAAAACAAAGCAAGTCTTGCTCAACGCAAATTACTTCTAAGGCCTTTCGAAAATAAAATTTGAGGCGCTTCAAAACATTTTTCCTAAAAACCCTAAATTTTTAAAATTAGCTCAAAACAAAAATGTATCAAACCCTGAAAAACCTTCTAAATTTCGGAGCTTCGAAGATCGTTTATTGTCAAATCTTGAATTTGCTAAGTAATCAAACGTTTACTGTTTCAAATTACCGTAATCTATTTTGATACGTCTGAAAAAACCATAGTGTCAGAGGGCGCGGATCACCGACCTACCGATCTTCAGTGGCGGGAAGAAAAGCCCGCGCTAACCCCTTCGGCAGGGTATAAATACCGAGAGTCAGGGGGAGTCTTGGAGTCCGCGCTGGAAAAGCGCTAGAAGGAGCTAACTCCGTCGAAGAGAGGCGGATCTCCCCATTAGATAGAGAGTTCTTCCTAGTAAACCTGCCGAAGTGGTCAAGAGGGTAAAGCCCGTCGTTTCGTTGTTGAGCCTTTTTCAAGTTACGCATTATTGTTTCTTGTTGTTTGTTGCCGTTTTCTGAGATAAATTGTTAGTCGTTCAATCCGTGTTGTCTATCGATCCGGTTGAAACCGTTATACCACTAGACACCCCCGGTTACAATAGAACTTAAAAGGCAAACGCTTTGGGTTCGAAATTTCTGCAAATAATTCAGCAATCACGAAATGATCTCTGTAAATAGAAGCTGTTGGAAAGAGGAAGAGAAGCCGCGTCGGAAACCGTTCAAAGCACTTGCCTGTCTACATTCTACTTAATTTGAGAATATGTTTGATTGTAAAAAGAGATGCAATGTTCTCATTACTTTTGACTCGCCCTAGTAAGTACCTTCTCCTTTCAGATGGACAATGAAAGACTTAGAAGATGTTTTCATTAGCAAGAACCCCACATGACAGTTATTTAACATCTACTACCCTAGTATCACAAGTATAGGACGCACCGTACCCTCTACCGCGCTGCTCCTTACCAGAGGTGCGATAGGTGGAGCCGGGCCCCCCAAAAGTGAAGGTGGTTCCAGTTACCACTGGCCGGCCAAAAGTGAAGGTGGTAGTGTCGGACACTCACCTCCCAAAAACGTTGACCGGGGGGGGGGGGGGTAGGGGGAGGGAGGACTTCGGATAACTGAAGAACTCTCATCTAATGGCCCCTAGGGCCAACAACTGTGACCTAACGGCCCTCTTTAGGGCCACAAATACGATGACTACAGCGCATAAAAATAAAAATAAAGTAAACTGTTAGTCAAAAGGTCTATTTGTAAGTAAAACCCAGCTAGACTTTGTGTGTTTCATCAAGTACATTTTGTTATGACGTACTGCAAAGAAAGTAGGTCGATCCAGGCAATAACCGCCGAGAACCAGGATTTCGAATAATAAAATAATGAAAAATCGTGAAAAATCATTTCACTGTTACAAATCTGCTGGCTGAAGACCTCCGCAGTTGCGACTTCATAGGTTTTGAAGGGTAAGTGTTGTTCTACCAGACAGTGAAAAAATCAGATTGATTTGAGGAGTGGCCGCCGAGAACGAGAATTTTGAAAAACCTTAAAAATCTGCTCAATTTTAGGTTGTTTAATGACAACTGACATTTAAACTATCATAAATCCGGACTTTGAAGGTGTGTGATGTTGCGACTTCATAGGTTTTGTAAAGTGAGGTTTGCCTTATCAGAACATGTCTTAGCTGTACCGATCCATTGAAACGTCGCCGAGATCCAGGCTCCTAAAGAAGCGGGTAAAAAACCGTTTTTCAGCTCATAACTTCTTCAGAATTGCATGAATCATGTTGCGACTTCATAGGTTGGATTCTCCTCATCAAGAGCTTTCAGATGATATATAATATGTGGGGGGTTCACGCCTTCCACGGCATATGCCCGGGGGTGGAGTACCTCTCTTCACTAATTCTCCACCCCGCCCATTTCAATGTATTGGCGGGAGGCCGCCAGTGGAGAATTAGTGAAGAGAGGTACTCCACCCCCGGGCATATGCCGTGGAAGGCGTGAACCCCCCACATATTATATATCATCTGAAAGCTCTTGATGAGGAGAATCCAACCTATGAAGTCGCAACATGATTCATGCAATTCTGAAGAAGTTATGAGCTGAAAAACGGTTTTTTACCCGCTTCTTTAGGAGCCTGGATCTCGGCGACGTTTCAATGGATCGGTACAGCTAAGACATGTTCTGATAAGGCAAACCTCACTTTACAAAACCTATGAAGTCGCAACATCACACACCTTCAAAGTCCGGATTTATGATAGTTTAAATGTCAGTTGTCATTAAACAACCTAAAATTGAGCAGATTTTTAAGGTTTTTCAAAATTCTCGTTCTCGGCGGCCACTCCTCAAATCAATCTGATTTTTTCACTGTCTGGTAGAACAACACTTACCCTTCAAAACCTATGAAGTCGCAACTGCGGAGGTCTTCAGCCAGCAGATTTGTAACAGTGAAATGATTTTTCACGATTTTTTATTATTTTATCATTCGAAATTCTGGTTCTCGGCGGTTACTGCCTGGATCGACCTACTACATAGATATATGCTCTTAATACTTTCTTTTACATTCCTTTTGCTTATTTTCCTTCTTTTGAGCTTCAGCAAAAAAACTTTTTCAAGCCGAAAAGTGAAGGTGGTCACCCTGTACCAGCTCAAAAGTGAAGGTAGGCGGAGAATCGGCTCCGACTATCGCACCTCTGCTCCTTACCTGAAGAAATTGTTTGAGAGAACAACCGTTTTGCGAGGCACAGTGGTGCCTCCAAATTTGCATTAAAAAAAATGGTGCGTCTTGTAATAGGCTGCTGCATAAGTTCTGTCCGATTTTTCGTTAGATGCAACTATTCTAGCAGATTTTCGAGTTTAATGCGGAAATGGTTTTATCATCAGAAAGCGTTTTTTTTTGCATTTTTTGAGACATGTCATGTTTCATAAAAATCTTCAATATAGCAAAATTGCAGGCCGAAGAGTGCAGGTGACTGAAATATGGTCCTTCCCGAAAAAGATATTCTTGTGAGGAGATCTTCACAATGCTTTCGCCAAACTAGTCCATGAGATGGTCACCGAATAAGTGTTTAACGGGCTAACATATGCACTAATTTTGTTCAAAAATCGTCTTGCTTGTAGAATTTGTTGTCGAAAATTAGTGCTTTATATAGATTTTCTAATAAAGCATCCTCTGGATAAAGGCAATCGATGAGAAAGTTATGGGTGAAAGAGTAAAGCAAGAGCAGTAAGATTTCGTACACCGTGACTCCTCAGCGCTAGCTGCATTTGTAGAAAGTTAAAAAATTGAAGAAAGACATAAACGCGTGCACGAAGCGAGGCAAAAAATAGCCTTTATTTGTTCAAATAAGTTAGTCTCATGACTACTCGTATCATTTTAATCGTGAAATAATCTCCAAAAAATTCGATATCCACTGATGCTACTAATTGTGGTGCCAGTCCTTACAGAGGATCAGAACCATGCCAAAGGGGCTTGAATTATACTGATTCCGAAGTCCCGTAACGGTTCCA